TGATTTGTGACTTTTAAGTAAAAACATGAAGTGTGATGGTTACAAGAGCAGTGGCCAAGATAATTCCCCACAAAACCAAGACAAACAATTATCAATGATCTCCTACAATAGCTTAAAATGTATGTGAAAGCATGTCGCACAGTATAAAGCACTAAATGAGTGTTTCTCATCCTTACCCACTTAAGGAGTCACTTGAGGAGAGTTTTAATATTGCAAATGTCCCTTCAGCATGAAGAGATTCTGACTAACGGGGGTTAGGGTGAGTCTTGGAATCTGTGCATTGGGAAAAAAAAAAAAAAAAACTACACAGGGCTGAGAACCTCTACAATAAGAAAACTGTTGTCATTATTAAGTAAATTACATTGAATACTTCAGGCAGGCGTTTGCTCTATGGGCTGAAGGAAGGATAAAAGAAAACAGCAAGTAAAGTACCAAAGGCTGGTTCTTGATCATTTGGCACATTTATTACTGGGACTTAAAAATCAGAGAGGCCACAACAGGGCCACAGCTTGACAAATATCTAATTTGCTTAGAAGAATGTGGGACTATCATTAAGCATTTAAAGAGAGACACAGATGAGGAGGAGTATGAAGGCAGGAGCGTGGCTGGCTACTAGTTAGAGATCGTTCATGGCTTGAGGATACTTTCAAGTCATAGGATTTAGTTCACGAATCCAGCCAGGACCAAATAAAAGCTGACACAACTCATCCATTGCTAAGGCACAAATCACTCCTGGTGCACTCAGGCCCCTGAAGCCCCCTTGGCTCTCTGAGAGGTTTCAAATGGGTTTGGCTTGAGGTTGATAAAACCCAGTGATTCCCTGATCATATGAAAAGCCGATTAAATCATGATGTGTTGGAGTAGAATCCAAACATAAAAGTATATTCTAGAGATCTCTAGGTGATTCCACTGTGCAACCAAATTTGGGGACATGAAAATAAAGTATTCTTTGATGAACCAATCTGAAACCACAGCTGCAAAAAAGAGCTACTCCTTCCTCTTTAGCTGAGATTGTCACCTGCTCTGGCCCATGTTTCTCCTGATTTCTCATGTAGGTTAAACCACTTCTCTTCACCCCACACCATACCTCACCTGTGTCCTCACCTGCTGATTTGTTCCTGGCTGTGCTTCTCACTTTACAACTTCGACCACATCATTACCCTGCTCAAAAATTTCTAATGAACCCCATTCTGATCTGGAGCTTCGTAACCAAAATATAGTTACCTGGGAGCTTACAGAAAGGTACAATTCCAGAACCCATCTGGGTCTACTGAATTAGAATCTGTATTTACTAAGATCCCCAGGGGATTTGTATGAACATTTAAATTTGAGAAGTATTATTCAAGAGCACTATTCTCCAAAGTATATTTTGAAGGACACTCTCAAGGACAGAGAGTATCCTGCCTGGATTCAAAGTCACACCATTCCCTCTCTTTACAGGGCATCTGTCCATTCAAAAAGTAGTTACTGAGTGACAACTATGTCTCATACTGCGCTGGGTTTAGAGGATCCAGCAGTCAAGATGACAGAAATGGTGTCTGAATTCATGGACTTATAGCAAGGACAATACTGACATGGAAAGATAACTACGGGGGTACTATAAAGGGGGATGCGCAGGATGCCCTGGGATTATCTAGTTAATGAGGTAAACTGGGGATGGCCTAACACATCTGGGAGATCTGGAACATGAGAATAGCATTCCTGGGGAAATGCCGCTAATGCAGGTCCCTGTGGATGCACGAGGTCAAAACAGATGGGGCATCTGAATACAATGACAGCTTCAAACACAACAGGTGCAAAGACTCAAAGCAACTATGGAAATGCTTGCCCAGTGCTTACTCCATGCAAGGCAGGGCTCTAGGTGCTTTCCATATATGTAGGTGTGACTATTAACCCTGTTTTATGAACAAGGAAACTAAGGCACAGAGAGATGAAATAATGTGTCCCCATCACAGAACAAACTCTGAAACTCAACCTTGTCCATCTGGCTCCAGCATCTATGTTCTTAGCTATCACAATTTACAGCTGTTGAGCTGGGAAGAACATGATGCATACAAGAAGCTGAAGAACAGGCCATATGTCCAGAGTTCAAGCAGTGTTTGTTCACGGATCTTTTTTTTTTTTTTTTTTAATCATCAGAAGGAGAATGCATTATCATTCAGGAGCAGCTACTTGTAACTCATATTTTTGGGGATCATCCCATAGTTACCGAATCAGAATATCTAGCTATGGAGCTGAATATCTGCATTTTAGTAATGCTTCCAGATGATTCAGAAACAATAAAGTCTGAGGACCATAGGTTTAGACATACAATTTCCTTCAATATTCTCCTCCCTCTCATAGTCCCCCTAATTAACCCAGAGTTATTTAATAATATATTATCGGTCCCAAGGTATAAACTAAACATGAGGATAAATAGGATTGAAATGGAAAGTTGGAATAAATCTTAAAATTGAATCTTTGCTCCTCCAGGTCCCCTGGCTGCCAGGCTGTGAAAAGAATTACCTAGGCTTGAAAAATTGGAGGCAAAAAAAGACCACAGAGGCTTAGAACTATTTTCATTACAATGCCACCATTTAAATAACTAATTGAATCTCTGGAAATTGAGGTAAAATTTAAAATTGCCAGAAGAGCAATTATTTCACATGCTCTCTGATTCCTCCATCCTTAGCCAGTGCTAGAAGACTCTCGGGCAGCAGAGAATTTTCTTGAATGTAGAATACATGCTAGAGCAGTAGCTGAAGTAATCTCCGGCCACTAGGGCCACTGGCTCAACAAAACTAATATGCTTCCCTCAGTGTCAGGGGACCCTGACAGCTCCAACACCAGTATCTGGCTGCCGGTGGTGTTTTTTTTTTTTTTTTTTTAAAGATTTTATTTATTTATTCATGAGAGAGAGAGGCAGAGCAAGAAGCAGGCTCCCAAGGAGCAGGGAGCCCGATGTGGGACTCGATCCCAGGACCCTGAGATCATGACCTGAGCCAAAGGCAGACGCTTAACCATCTGAGCCACCCAGGCGCCCAGTGGGGTATACTTTTAATTCAGTCTTTCCTCTCTTATAATCACTTAACAAAGGAATTATGCTAATTTCTCGTGAGGAAGAAACTAAAAGAAATAGCTGAATCTCAATAAAACTCCTTCATCATAGCTTATTTTATTTTGCTGCATTTTCCCAATATTTATCTTTATTTATCTTTGAATGTCTTTCAAGTACATTACCACTAAAATTCCAAAAGTCATCCTCCTAGATGCTGCCTTTCAAATGGTTCAGAGAGATCATAGCTCTTCTGTCCCGATCTGTCTGGAAGTGACATTATCCTGTTCATTCAGTTAGTTTGCTTACTTGATATCCCCATTCAAGAAAATAAGTTTGGAAAAGTTTCTGGACGAGATTGTTATTTTTATCCCTCAAAAGATCAGAAAAATATTCCACTGTAGTTTTCAAGGTTCTTTCATTTTCAAAATATTTATTTTAATGCTATCCATAACAAAGCTCACTGGATACAACCATGTCAATTTTGACAAAAGAACATTAAGAAGATGAAATGGCATGGTAATGAAAACCTTATGCAGGTTCCCCACCACTGCAATATAAGACACAAATGGTGACAATCTTCCATAGCTGTCACTACCCCTTTGCCAATCACTGATGGGGGGTTTGATGTGTCAAGCAGATCGATGTCAATGTTGGTCCCCTTTTCATATGACACAACTTGTGAATCAAAGAACGTGGGGGATCCTAGATGCACAGGGATGGACTTTCCCAAGAAAAGGTGTGAATGGGGCGCCTGGATGGCTCAGTTGGTTAAGCGACTGCCTTCGGCTCAGGTCATGATCCTGGAGTCCGGGGATCGAGTCCCGCATCAGGCTCCCTGCTCGGCAGGGAGTCTGCTTCTCCCTCTGACCCTCTCCTCTCTCATGTGCTCTCTCTCTCTCTCACTCTCTCAAATAAATGAATAAATAAAATCTTAAAAAAAAGAAAAGGTGTGAATGCTCTCAATCTCTGGGATAGGTTCTCTCCTCCCAGGACTGCATACAGTACTACCTTGCCCCTTCTTCCAGGAGGCTAATACAGCCTTGTCCTGCCTGAGAAGACATGACTAGCCAGAGAAGGCTAGGATGTGTGGATGAAACCCAATTTACTCTGGGCACTAGGGTATGATTCTATGCATCCTTCCTTTCCTTGGAGTTGCCTTTTCTTACTGTGGCAATGGTAAGATCCACTGGACCAAGGCTAGGGTATGAGACTATGGGAGAAGAACCAAATTATTAACTCTAGGTCTTAGGTGGAAATGGAGCTTTTGGACTAGGAGTACTTGTATCTCCACACGGACTAGCTCATCACGGGGAGTGCAATAAGCATGGGGGGAAAGACCTGTTCTAAGAAAGAGGGTCATTTTACCAAAGTGCTCCTGTGTGTTTTTTAGGACTTAGGTATTAAGTATCCTGGATCATTGTCCTCTAAATACATCCAGGTGTATAAAGTAACACCATTTATAGTAAAGAAACACAAATCTTATATTGTGAATTCCCGTACCTATTCAACGCTTTTTACATATCTGTCCTTGTTCTTCCACAGGCTTATATTTATCAGTGATGTAAGCACAATGCTTAAGGCCCTATAGTCTAATAAAGATGCCTCCAGTCAGATTCCCAGCACACAGGAGCCACAAAGAAACAGTGTTGGTGATGAGGCTTTATAAGGAACCACATGTGAATGGCTTTTCAAAACACCACAACAGGGATCCCGGAGGATGAGCACTCCTGCAATGCACTCCAGTGACATTACAGCATCTAGCAACTGAATATGTTTTCCCTGCCAAGTCCTGATGGATCTGGAAATTCAAGACTTCATTTACAAATTTTACCAACCTTGCTTCCCAGGGGGACATGCAAATAGAAAAGAAAGATGCTCCCGTTCTACAGTCTCTCATTTATTTAGCAGTGAGGAAGGCAATTCAGGTGGGTTAGGAAGAACACTAAAAACAGAATGCACCGACCTGGTTGGCAGGACCTCGGGCAGGGTGTCCACTCACTGAAAGCTGTCACAATGCAGTCTTTTTTGCACGGGAGAAGGCAAGGACGCACTGTTTCGGGCCGAGTCGAATCTGGACATCTGTCAATGTGAAGAGACAATATCAATGCCTCCTGGAAGAAGTAAGTGGCTTAGCGGAGAACTGTAGGATTTCAGAACAGAAAACACTGAGGCCCTGTTGTTCCTTCTACAGACAAGGAAGAGAGAGCCAGGGAGGTGAGGCTGCTTGCTCAAGGGCTCCCAGCCAGTGGCAGAGTCAAAGGCAACTTCAGTTCTCTTGACCTTGAGACCAAAATACTTTTCACTCGTCCAGGAAAAGAGCAATCCCTGAAACTAATGAAAGGGAATGCCTTCACAAGAAAGTGTCACCATCAGCATCAATTCAAATGACATTTGATTTTTTTTTTTTTTTCAGAATGAACACATCTGATATATTTCTTGAAAAGCATTTTATTCCGGGTAATATATCAAATCAATGATATTCTACAAAAGGAATAGGAAAATACAAGGCAATATATGAACATATTGGGAAACAAAAATCATTGAAAACCACTTAAATATACTCTACATCTTTGATAATGAACAGAACTTTAGAATATTTAAACGATTGGCAGGTGTCTCTTTAGAACATGTGGACTGATGAGCAAAATATGACAGATAGCAAATGTCAAATACACTAACTAGCATTAACAAGAGAAACACTGCAGTTCTGTTATTTTGCTGATAATGAATGTTCACATTTGGGAGGAAAATACTACAGTCAATTGATTCATAATCACTTGGAAGAACTAAAGTCTCAGAAAATGGCAATCAAGCCTTTGTTTGTTTTCTTGCCTGCTTACTTGTTTTATGAACATAGAGGGCTAAAAACTACATTGATTATCTTCTAAAATGATGATATGCCAAAAAGAAAAACAGGAAAGCCCTCAGCAACATATATTTGCATTTTAAATTCTGTTTCCCGTTAAGTTCCTCATAAAGCATATAAATGCAGTGTGGGTAAAGCTTAACAACATGAGCTCTGGTATTAAGTAGGCAGTGCTGAGTTAAGGGCTTTGGCTAGCTTCTTTCATTTATTCCTAATGACAACAGTGAGAGGCATTATAACCTTCATTTTCACATGATAAACTGAGGCACTGGAATAATCAGTAATGGACCCAAAGCCACATGGGGAGAGACCATTTGAGACAAATTATGATAGAAAAAAAAAACACCAGTGTAGCAAGTTCAGACAATCAATAGACCTTCTTGAAGGAGAGAAGAGAAAACAGAGGAGATAAAGCTAATGAGGAAATGATGAATCAAAAAAAAAACAGAGTTCAGATGAAAAGTCCAAGAATTGTATACAAAATGACCAACATGCCAATGCAAAGGTTGTCCAGTTTTCAAACACCAAGACAAAGTAAGAGGACAGACAATAATGGATGTGGGAGAAGAGGAAGAAAAATTGGTCATCCAAGAGTCTGGCTGACATTAGACCTCATCAATTTAGATAATGATCAAAATGAAAACATTTTCTTAGTTTTAAAACTTTTAAAACAATATATAAGCCAAATGTGGAAGACAGAACTTGACCTTGGAACAGAATGTACATGATATCATTCATGCCACCATCAGGTAAAGAAACAGTGGACAAAGCAGGGGAGATGGAAGGGGAGAGAGACAGAGTGGAGGCTTGGTTGTCCTTATCTGACAAAGCAGGTGGGCAGAGTGACGATCTAAATATAAATGAAAGCAGAAATAAAGTTCTAAAAAGATCAACCAAGAGTACTAACGCAACCTACCCACAGAACACCAACAATCTGGGATTTGAGACAGGAGTTAGTGTAAACGGGCTAAGGTTCATTGCTTTCACGAGAGGGAATCAAGGAATAGGCATTATAAATTGATAAGTGAGGAGATGTATGAATAATGTGTGGAAAATGTATCATTTAGAGTTAAGAGGTAAACATGAGAAAGGGAAGAGGACGAAGAATATACACTTGTACTGACATAAAGATACAATGGACGGAGATAAGACACTAACACAGTGGCTTAGTGGCAGGACAGGGGGCAGGGAGAGGGGGGTGGGAGAAGGGCTGTGAGCATCAGGCTTCTCTTTGCTATATATTATATTTCTCCTTTCATGTCATTATGATTTGTGAACCATGTGAAGGCTTACCCAGTCAAAACGGGGGGGTGGGGGGTGGGGAGTGGTGGTGCAGAGACAGAGACAGACAGAAAACATAGAACAACTGTTAAAATGTGGCTGTGGTTGTGTTTGAGATGTGGGATACTAAACGGAGCAGGAGATGGGTGGGACCTATTGCTTGCCATCATTAGTCTCTCTGTATTATTTTACTTCCTCTATGGACTATATAAAACTTGGATAAAAATGGAAAATGGACATACAGAAAAAGAATTGCTCAATAAATTATTAGTGGCATTATTATTAATCATCCTTAGTATACACAGAAATGCTGTCTATCAAAGAGATCAATTCAATAAGCAAAACAACAATAGAAAGAAAGAAGAGTGTCTTCGTGAGAATATAGTGTTACTTAAACAAGCTACTTGGGTAAGGAAAATCTATGTCATACTTTATTAGAGATAGCAAAAAAACACTAAAATCATTCCCAAGTCCTTTACGCACATTCTGAGGTCTACTAAAATTAAATTGAGCTGCTCTTTATTCTAACTCCTCTCCAACAGCGCCTGGTGTATGGTTGGAAATGGAAGTGTGACTTGAGCAACGCCAGCTTCCTACGTGCCCAGTGGGGCAGCAGGGGCCCCACGCCCAACCGGCCATTTCACACTCACTCGTCCACTGGCAAAACAGCTTACAAATATTTGTGGCACTGGCTTCAGGCTTCAGAGGGAGGCTGATCTTGAAGGGATTTTGCTCACTTCAATTAGGAGTAGGTGTTAGTCTCTTCTAGGGAACTGATCTTGCCTACTTGATTTACCCTTGATTAGCAACACTCACAATAAATACTCATTGGGCATAGTGTCAGCTTTTCAGAATACAGCCCCTTTCTCTCTACACGTTCTTCCCTTAAGTCCGAAAGAGAGAAACAGTATCATCTCCTCAATGGCAAAGATCAAGCTCAGGTTATATTGCTTTTATAGAGGCCATGAACTGGAATGTGATTTTTGGTCTGATAGAGCCAAATATTCTCTTGTCAGTGAAAACGGTTTTTTTGTTCATTTCTTTTGCCAGTAAGGTTGACCCTTTCTGCAGGGGTTCAACTTCCTCTTCCTTTCTATTCACATAATGTCTACCCCTTCAAGAATCATCACATTTCTAATTTTCGTAAGTTTCTTCTTAGCCTTCAAAAATACTGTCTTTGACCATTAGCAACATGTGTGTCCTCCATTTCTAAGAAAAACTGTAAGGTTTATTTTCTGTATTGTTGTATTGACATTGATCAAAAAAAGGGTTTTGACTGCTTTCATGCTGTTTTCATGTGTGTGTGTGTGTGCGTGTGCATGTCTCTGTGTGTCTGTGTGCTTGTGTATGCGTGCACAATACATAAACTAATTTTTAATGCCTTGCTGGTGGAATTCCATCTTATATCATATCTTAAAAGTGCCATATTTTAGCTCAGTGTAAATATTTAATAACAGTAAGTGAATGATTGAATAGTATTCAATGTTACTGGAGCCTGAAGACAAATAAATCCCTGGGGATATTAGGCTAATTTATCCAGCCATTTCCAAAACAAAATTAAAGCCTTAAAACCCAGGGAAACATATGGATTCACTTTTTAGTTAGTAAACAAAGTATGGCCCCTTGGCTTTTGTCATAATTTATACTTCCTAACATCATGCAACACTCAGACTCTAGATTGGCAGTGCTTTCAATAAAAGGATGAATGTATTTCACTTCAGCACATATATTTCCCTGGACCAGCACTGGAATGCTCTATAACTACTATCTCGTTGTCACCCTGTAGCCTTCAGCTCCTTATAAGCACTGTGCTGAAATCCATCAAACTGAGCTACAAAGACCTGCCATTTTTCAGTTAGGCCTCCATAATCAAGATGCAGAGACGACGCTCCATTTCTTTGATCAGTCCTCTGACACAGGAACCAATGCACGTCTCACTCAGCTAGGTGGGGCAAACCTGTCAACTCTGTCAATGTTAAATGTTTAAATGGAGCTCTGTATTATTATATCTCACACAATGCCAGGTGTTTTCACATTAAAGGCAGAAAGTGCCTTATCAGGACTTTAGGAAGGCTCCGAATTGTATGTTTTTAATCTTTTTTATTATTATTACTCTTTTTGTATACTGCAACTGAAAAAAAAAAACAATGAATAGTGAAACAAAACTAAACAAAACCCCGGAACTATCCCAATAAGCTCTCACTTCTGTTCCACTTCTGCCCTGGCTAGTTCTCATTTTCTGATATGATCAGTTCTATTACTCATACAATGGTAACAATCTCACCTACACAACTGCATAGAAACCAAAACACCAACCCAGGGAAGCAAGAACTTGCAAGGAACTCTGCCTTCCAGTGCAGTGGGCTTGGAGATAAAACACATTATATTAGCCCATCCGTTCCATGGAGACATACTTCTTTCTCTGTACCCTGAAGGCCCCTCCTTCTTCAGGATGTTTCCTTCTCCTTTTCTGTTTCTATTCCCCTACCCCCACCCCAAGGATTTCACAAATGGCAGGGAATCTTTTTCTACTGTAATAGCTTTCACATAAAAAGAACAAAAAATATATATTTTTCAGAAGGGCAGAACAAAAGATATTTTCTCCTGCTGATAGTTTCACTATCTCACTATGCACTTCACTGGACACTAGGTATTAATTTCTTAGCTCAATTCATCTCCTTAACCTAAAATTTTTAAATTAATTTTACTCACGTCAATTCAGGCTCCTCATATTTAGCAGGGTTGTTTGGAGACATACAGTAAGAATTCAACCTAAGTTGTTAAGTCTCCAGCTTCATTAGCAGGGTAAAAAGTAATCAGCAACGTCTGTGTGTGTGTGTGTGTATGTGTGTGTGTTAGAGAAAACATCTGTACGATTCACTTTTCTGTGATGGTAAGCCGAGCAAAACTAGGGGTTATTCACAATAATAACATTTATGTGCTCAGGCTTTTACAAACAAAAACAAAAACAAAACAACACCAGTCATTTGAAGTTATTCTAAGAAGAGAAAAGGGGCTTCCTGATCATATAATCCAACTTTTCATGTCCAAATAGTCCTTTAAATGTGGCAATTTATTCGGTGTCACTCTTAATTCTAATGTCCCTTTGCTAAGAAATAAACAAACTGTACTCATATCAAGTAGATTTTTCCTGTTCTGGTTCAGAGCTGAAAAGTTTTGTGTCGGGGAGAAGATCAGACATCAGGCATGCTAAATTTTCTCATCACAATAAGGAATAAATAGTTTGCTGCATTTTATGTAGAGTTTACTACTATACTTAAGCCATATTTAATTTTATTTGTATATTCAAGATGATATTTCATGTGTCTTTTTTAAGCAGCTGAAAATTTACATCATAAAAATGAACATTATCAAGGCTACAATCCTTCCCAAGATAAAAGGAGTTCTCATGTCTGAATAATATCTTTATAAGCCTTGAAGGATTTTACCATAACCCTGTGAATTAGATTTTCACCTGAGGCAGGTGATATGTAAAACATTATCGTCCATGTTTGGCTATAACTCCCATTGATTCAATCAGTCCATGTAGCGCTACACATACCAGGCAAGTGGCAAAACACAACGGACATCATTTGATATTCCAAAAACAGCACAAGCAATGTAGAGTCAGGTCTAAAGCAGAAATAACATTTATGAATTAGTAAGAGTAGGAGGTCATACATCTGATCTAGTCATTACTCTTTACGGCAGTCCCCTTTGCCAAAATGTATGATGGTGGATCAAGTAATTTTTCTTGAACAAAGGAGAGATACCAGCTTTTCTCAATCTTCTGCAATTCACATACAATCCTTGTTGAACCCTGCAACTTTCCTACACACCAATCTAGTTCAGTTATGAATTCCAAAGTCATTTATGGTACACTAACTATATGCTAGACATTGTGCCAAAGTCTGGGGTTGCGGCAATTAAGAACATCCAACTCCAGCCCTGTGGAAGAGAGAGAGAGAGAGGAGGTCTTGCAGACTGTGCTTCACTGCAAGTCGTATCATCTCCGCTTGCATCTGCACAGCCATCTGCACGTCGGATGTTCCAACCCAGCAGCACCTGGCCAGTCTGCACTACTTCCGCCAGCAGCGGTTCGCTTCCCTTAACTGGGCTCCTATGACTTTCCTTACACAACTCTTGTGGTTTCCATGCCAGTGTGGATAAGGTCCAGCGCCTAGCATCAAGGTGGCCCAAGGTGAAATTAATCAGGCGTTTCCGTTGCCCAGGACAGCAATGCAAATTGGATCGAATTAGGTGGAAGAGCAAATGTGTCTGCCCACGTTGCCAGAAAGGATAGGAGCATGTTTAGTGAGATGGGACCAGAGCTTGATGCTGCCAGGATATGTTCTGCTTCAGTTTCTGCTTCTTTCTGAGCATCACTTCCACTCCCTTTGCCTTTTTCTTTTAGGACCATGCCTATGGCAACTGTCAATGCATATACTTAGAGCCTCATGCACAGAATGAAGAGAGGGTTTCATTTTCCCAACTCAGAAATTCCAGGAGAAGAGCTCTAAGTTGCCTCATTTGTGACACTAGACAAAAGCTTGAGCATGCCCATCCTGGGGATATATCACCCCTGTGACAGGGGTAGAGTCTTCTACCACAAGGAAGAGACTAGTTGAAACACATCCACTAGGAAATCTCCATGGACAGGACAGTTACCCAGTCACTGTATACTTCATAGGTGCCTTACATTTTCTTTTCCAGAGGCTTCCCACATGGACTGCGGAAAAGTCACATCTCCTCATTTGGTCTAGCGATAAAACTCCCACAGCTGAGTTCTCTGCCTGATTACTCTTTTTCCTCTATCACTTGCAATTGTCCCTGACCCTTTTTGATATCTATATCCTAGTTCCCATGTCCAAGTTATCCTATTTTTTTTGTTTTGTTTTTTAGATTTATATCTTCAGGTACAGAGTCTAACATGTATGAGATTGCAACCTACTTACAGGCATGAATTAGTCTATTCAAATGGCTATATGGATTTATTGCCCATTGCATAAAAAATCAATGGAACCTAACAAAGAGTGTAACACAACCCTATCCTTTCAAAGTGGAGAACCTACCTTCACATTGACCTAGTCTTCACATGATTGAAAAAAATGCCAAAAATACTGAGATGAGGTCAAGAAAATGTTTGATTACTCAAACACATTCAATATTTGTGGGCCACATTTACTTTCCATTAGCTAATGCATGCGATTATAATCTTACTAATGATCCATATTATAACTGTTTCTACCTTTGTTTTTGAGAGATAAATTCTAGTCATTAAGAGTCAAATGAAACAAAATCCTTTTCCCCCAGCACTGACTGAAGCATATTCATTGCTTGATAAATGTTTTTGACTAAAAATACTCAACTATGCAATAATCATATGCACTTTCAATAAATTATTGGTGATACCTTTTGGTCATCACTTGTCCCACATGACTCTTGACACAGAAGACCCTCCGTGTCTGAATGCCCACACCACAGGTAGCTTCTCCAGTCCAGCCAATGGTTGCATTAAGGGCAGTTACCAATGTGTCTTCAGAACAGGGGCCCCAGGGCAATGTGTCCCAGTAGAGCTGCATACAGGAATGGTCATTGCATGAACGATATTCTTGGAGGGCCTGACTAGGGGGACACAGTTTTCCACCTGTGAAAATCAAAATACAAAAGAATACACAGTTGTTGCTGTTGTTATTACCAGGTTGCTGTTACGTCGTTCTTATTTTTGTTGTTTTTTGCTATTTTAATGGTCCAGAAAGATGGTGTTTTTGATACAGGATTCCAAAGGCCCGGGCCTCTGAACCCTTCTGCCCTTTCTAGGGCCATGATTCTTTTGTCCTGAGTAACAATCTGAGGGTAATATATTGTACTTTTCCCTCCTAAATAATAGGCAGCAATACACATTGATTAGACCAAAACCAAAACAACAACAACAACAAAAACCAGATTCTATTTCCCACCTTCGGATCATGTATCTCTGAGATAAACTCCAAAGAAATCTGCTTTTATTTTAGTAACACGATGACTACATAAATTAGTCCATTAGATACACTAGCCCGTGACCTTAAAGTGGTATTAGGTCAAACATATACACTTACACACACATTATCTATATCTGGCCTCTTTTTCCTAAGAGAGCATTATTTTTCTCAGAGAATCATTTTAAGACACCCATCCTCCATCAAGCAATGCATTTTACTGCAATTTGAGAAATCCAGAAGTGTCTCTTAAAGTTTGGCAGAAGAGAGCCCATCCTCAAACTCTGAAATGGTATCTGACAATGTGTTATCCACTGGCAGGGAGACCAGACAGATGTGCATCCTTACACTCTTGGGTGAGTCAGACAATCAAACTTCATTACTGTCTTTTCTTTCATATTTTTATATCCATGTAAAAACTGGCATTTACCTAACATATTGATTTTTTTCCTACTCTTCCACCTTATGATGTTTTATTCAGTGGGCCAAATGCTCAAAAAGATCTGTGACCTTGGTTTTGTTATTCTTGTTATTTTTTTCCCATTAAATACTACTGACTTTTTTCTCCTTCCAGAAATATAAAAGACAAGAGCACGAAGTAACTGCACTTTAAGAATATGAAAATCTTCATTCATCTTGACCCTGGCCCCATTTTTCAGGATCACAGAACAGAATCTTGTTTCAAAAGGAGCTCCTCACAGCCAGTGGCCACACCACCCTGCTGTTCTAACTGAGCCATAGGCAGACGAAGCCAAGGGAGAGCCTGAAAGAAAGGACATGTGCGTCTGGGGACACACACCATCGCTATAAATGATAGAAACAGCTGCTCCTCCAATTTGTTCTGATGTCACCCGTCTACATTTCCATAGCACATTTTAGCTTCTTCAAAGCCATTTTCAGAGCCTTCATCTATCTTCTTCCCTCTCACAACATGTCAGCATGACAGAACAGGAAATCAGGCCGACGTTAGTGGCAGTTCCTGGTCAAGAAGCCATGTCTCTTGATTCCTCATTTGGAGCTCTTTTTACCAGACATATTCCAATTATATTCCCAATGTATGAGCTACCTGAAGCTGGATGTGTGTCAATCAAACTTTGCTTTTTTTATCCCCAAGAAAGTATAATGAAAAATAACATCCATCTGATTGCCATGGCCTGTATATAGGTATGAGCTAAGACAATTCCTGTAAATATAGGACCCAATCTAGATCAACTAGAGGATTAAAGAGAAAAGGCATGCATGGAAATGAAACTTAGTTTTCATTCAGGCAACAGAGCTATCACCTATCCGTGGCTACTTCTACTCTATGACTTTCTCAATTGTTTACTAGAAAAAAAAAAATAAGTTGGCAATTGACTCCGCTATTGAAGCCTTTCCTATTACTCACCTTCTCCAGCCAATGCCAGGATAGTCCTTGACCTGGTCTGTTTCCCATCTGAATTTTTATTTGAACAAGACTGGGAACAGGACGACCACTCTGTCCACTCACTCAGCACACAATCCATTCGGCAGGGAATTTCACAAGGCATCCTTTCAGGAGGCGGGGATGCTGGGCAGAGACTCCCTGATACATCTTCTCCTGTAATCAACCAGATCGAGACAAATGCTGATTACTGCACAATTGAGGACAGTCCAAGGAACATTTAGGCATGTTGCTTCCTCTGTTACTTCAGTTTAGCCAAGAAGACTTCACCAGGTGTCTAAACCAATAAAGTGTGAAAAATGATGGCTTCTTCAGCAGTTCATAATATTTATGTCAAGAAAAACTGCCAGGAGATCATTTGGCATTTAGAAAGTTAGACACCACCGCAAAACTCTCATTTGTCATCCTTCGCAGGGACAAAATGGGCTTCTTCCAGGAACAACTGAGCCATGGATGGCTATGGATAGACATGATTGACCTGCTATTGACAACTATGTGTAATAAGTGTATGTTTTTCTGCAAAACAGGGGCCAGAATAGTCTGTTGGCCTGCAAACCTCAATTTATGTTGAACATTCTATCCTATGCTATAAAGAATTACATCATTCTAATTACCTGTTGGGTGCTTTTACCTCCAAAAATGTAACTTTAGGCAAGGTTATCACATGACGATTCTTTTGTTCTGTTTGGACCTAGTGGTAAATAATCCCAAACCACAATGGAAAGGGACTTGTGGTTAAAATTGTATAATGTTGACACAAAGTTGAAAGCCCACATGAAATTTTCCATATTACATTTATCATTCCCCCTCTGAATGATCTGATGAATTACTCAAATTATATATATATATATATATAGGGGGTAGTTTTTGGGTTTTTTGTTTTTGTATTTACAATGAACAGATGTTAAGACTAAGGGGATCATTTCTAAGTTACTTTTCTATATCTCAAATAACTATAATAATTTAAAAAATTCTCTTTTAGGTTATATAAGAATAGGTCACTATTATAATTCTAGTGTTACTCTTTATAGATAATAGTTCGACTCTTACTATTTGCCCTGTTCACTGTCACCTCATAAAAACAAAAGACATGAAGAATAACGATATAGTTTATAGTTTGAAGTAACAACACAGAATGTGGAATGGCATCTATAGGAAGGAGGCAGTTTTGTCTCTGCGACTTTACACCTGTGGAATTCTCCTGTCATAATCTGCTTGGTGCAAAAAATAAGTACAAAAGGGACTACAACTTATGGGGCATCTCCTTTGTGCCAGGCACTGTCCTCGTAAGAAGCTCTTGGAGGCAGGTGTAACCCATTTTGTTTTATACATGAGGAGTCAGCGGTTCCGGAAGGAAAACTTGCTCAGGGTCACGCAGGCCTGAGTTGGGTATCAAATTAAAACTTTGTGACTCCAAAGCTTCTGCTTTTCCCATTAACCACATTGTGTCTAATTCTACAGAGATGGATATTCCTTTGCTGAGGAAGTAAATAAAACCAGCCGACAGTGAGAAAGACTGCTTGGAGGAGAAGACAGTTCACTGTTAACATCTGCATTCATATTTGTAAATGAGGCCAGGCTCATTGCCCCTGAGGTACAAATAAAACTTTTCAAGCATATTATGAGAAGTAATAGAGATTCTAGCAGATAATCAAGCTGAAAGACCAGTTCCAATCATTCTCTTTTCAGTCTTAATCTATTTTCAGGTTGAGTCCACACTGTATGTTACACACATATATACATGCACACAGATACTATCTCTCTGCCACACACACACACACACACACACACACACACACCCCAATACAGCTGAGAGGTAGTACTTCCCCAAGTACAGAAGCAAGGAGACCAAACAAATGTCCAACCTGCATCTAATCAAAAGTTAATTTCCACATTTGTGAATATTATTAACATAATTTTAATACAAGGCACTTTATTTTTTTTTAAGATTATTTATTTATTTATTTGAGAGAGAGAATGAGATAGAGAGAGAGCATGAGAGGGGGGAGGGTCAGAGGGCGAAAGAGGCTCCCCGCTGAGCAGGGAGCCCGATGTGGGACTAATGCAAGGCACTTTAAAGCAGTGTCTTGCAAAGGACATTTTTGAGGAATAATAGGTATTAGTAGGGTTCTTACAAAAAAGTGGGAGAAACCTGTGAATACTGAGTTAAAACAGTAAAGTTGGTCTCACTACTGAAGAACTACTCAGAGTGTTGAAAATGTCAATGTACAGTATAAATTTCCTAGGGTGAAAATGGTGGGTAGTGTTTTTCAGCCTTATCTGACTAATGACCATACTTTTTTGAGAAGAATATCTCCTAGTAGTGGTATTTTTATGAATATGTTTTTAGAAAACTCTGCCTTCAAGAGTTATACAATTATCAAGCACTATTTGATGAGCATGTACTATGTCCAAGGTGTATGATGAGGTAAAAATTAGTGAAGATACTATTATTTACCCCCCTCGAGTTCATGCTTCATATCAGAGATGAGCTATAAACATATACAAAGAAAACTTAGTCCAAACGTAAATGCCAAGTTCCAAAGGTGTGTTTCAAACAGGAAATACTGTCGTAGCTCAGGGGAGAGAAGGTCCTCTGGGGTCTAGCATGATATCAGAAGACTTTCAACAAGGAAAAATAGAAAGGTAGAAACTTGGTGGCAATGAAAGAGGGTACTTCAGGCAATGAAAGTACCAACGAAAGTATGGTGGTAGGAAAATACCATGTATTTAGAAGACAATAGGGAAGCTGCATGAAGAGAAGAGAAAATCCATATTGGAAGAGTGATTTGACATCAAATTCTGAATGACTTAGACAGACACACAACTTCTGTCATCTTTCTGCCTCCCTTAAATTCCCAGTTGCTCAGGTTTGCCAAGACCCAAATTTAACATCCTCTCCGGTCATCACTCGGCACCCTCATTATTCATGTCAGGAGCTCAAATGCTTTGTAAAACCTAAGCTTTCATATAAACTGATATACTTATTTCCTCAGTGCAGTTAAATGTCAATAATCCCACCAACATTTTGATAGCTTGTCTATACAGGCTAATTCAGACATGTGAGCAAACAGATGAGATTTTCTTTAGGGAAACCAAACCACTAGTCGTAAGCAGGGTCTGTAATTTGTGAGTGAGCTGCAGGATGGGATCCTAGTTACAAAGTGTCCTAGCTGGATACAGTTAAGTGTCCACAGGCGAATCCTAAAAAACAAAATAAAAAAAAAAAAAGGGGGGGGAATCCTAGCACCACTTATCCTCTTGAGTGTGTCACTTAACTTCTTTGAACCTCAGTTATTTCATCTGTAATAAAGAAATAACAACACCTTTCAGGGATATTCTAAGGATTATAAATCATTTATGCAACATACCCAGCAAGGCATCTAGCATATGGATGGCTCTCAATATATACAAAGCTTTAAAACAAACAAACAAACAAACTGTTGTTTGCAAAGATGTGCTCCACAAAAACGTAATGGCCTTGTTTATCTGAAAAATCTAGAGAATGATGTTACAGCCATGGAAAGCACTTGCTTTGCCACTCATATATGCGTACAAATAACAACCAACAGCTTCACAGCCTGGTTCACATAAACTATAAAAACTATTTATAATTATCCAGATCATTTTATTTATATGGTTGGTGAATCTAAACCATTTAAGAGCCAAAAATAAAGCACTTGAGCCTGAATAACCTCATCTGCCCATTCACATCAGTATAATTATCTTCCCATTGTACAGAGAGAATCCATCTCAAAAGAAGAGCATTTTTATACTTTCCTGTTTTCATTTTCTCGGATGGATCAATGAGACCAACTGAAATCTCAGGCAAGCATGGAAAATAAAGTGGCACATGGGACAGAAACTTAGCCATTAATAGTGATTTTCACAAGCTCTGATAATCTAATGTCATAATAAAATAGAATATATTTAAGAGGGAAATTGAATTCATCTTTCAAGAAGACTGTGAAATTGCTTCCAGCCCTCATCAGCCTCCCTAGGATCAATAATGACAAACTCCACATTCTCTCCTCACGGAGTATACTTATTTAAACCAATTGTGACTCTGAGAATATGGGATATGATGCTGCTTCAACGTTGCCTCTCCATTTTTTTTGAATAATTTAACATGGTGAAATTTACATTGTATAAAATTAACCATTTTAGAGTAAACACTTCAGTAACATTTAGTAAACCACAATGTTGTGCAACCACCACCTCTATCTAGTTTCAAAACATTTTCATCACTCCAAAATAAAACCCTTTACCCATTAAGCATTTTATCCCCATTACTCCCTCTCCTCAGACTCTGGCAGGCATCAAGTTATGTTCTGTCTCTACAGATTTATCTATTTTGAGTATTCCATATCAATGGCATTATACAATTTCTGATCCTTTGTGTCTGGCTTTTTTCACTTACCATAATACTTTGCAGGCTCATCCATGTTGTACCATATACACTACTTTATTCCATCTTATGATGGAATAATATTCCATTGTATGTATATACCACAATTCATTGATCCATTCATCTGCTGATGGACATCTTTTGGCTATTGTGAATAGTGCTGCTATGAACATGCTTATATATGTACTTGTTTGCTTACCTGTTTTCAATTACTTTCAGTATATGCCCAGGAGTACAATTTCAGGGTCATATTAATCACTGTTTTGTTTGTGATTCTGGGGACTGTGGCATAGATGGCCAGATGACTAGGTCTTGGCCATAGTTCACACTACTGTCCTTCTCTCTTCCCATTTCCAGCTAAAAGCAAAAGTACTTAGATGAAGTGAAGATTCCTGAGCATCTGAATACACTCACAATTCCCTAAAAATGTTTCTTTTTCCAATTCAAATACTACTTAAAGTATAAAGAGCTCATGCAAACTATGGCTACTGGTCAAGCAACCATCTAAATTTAATGCTAATAAGCTATTAGAGTTTGGGCTTTCCATAGCAAACTAGTATTTAAACTATACCTATGCTATATACTACATCCTATAACATTCTTTGTTTTATGACCTCTGAGGAATTAGAATTTAATATTATGAAGTACCATCTATCTTTTAAATTTTTTAAGATTGATCTATTTCTTTTAGAGAGAGGGAGAAAGAGAGAGAAAGAGCATGAGTGGGGGGAGGGCCAGAAGGAGAGGG